ACTCATTGAGACGGTGATTAAGCGTAGTGCCACCAACTCCATCCATTTGTTATCTTAGGAACTATTTTGCATCGGAGATTGTCAGAACTTTTTTCGTTGCCTTCTGCTATTGTACACTCCCTTTTTCAATTCCTGCTGCTATTCCGATATCGCCTTCAATGTTGGAACTCTTTATATCGATATTGCACCAACAGTGAATGTTCAATCACTCGGGATTTGTTTTCTTTGGCTACGCCTCCCAATCGTTTTTTTGCTACTTTCATCTAGGTAAAAGGGGATTGAGTCATTTGTCTTAGTATCCATTCTATTTTTAGTTAATTGTTCTCATTCCTTCATGCCCATCCTTACTATTGAATAAATTGCCTTAAGGCTTCAATTTTGCAGCTTGTCACTTTAATATTTGCATGCATAAATCGCCAATTTCTGTTTTGAATTTCCCTCAATCTGGTTGTTTGTCATGAATAAAGTGGTACACAAATGAACATTTGATATCTTAAGTATTTTCGAATCGAATCTGATGTGCTTAAAGTTGCTTTTTTATTTCTGAGGCCTTTTTGTTCGACTGTTATTCCCTGCAATTTTAACATTCTAAATCATGCAAAATTTACGGTGTCAACGGTATTAATCTCTTAGTTTTCTTGACGAAAATTAGATTATTCGTCAGACCCATTCCTTATGCGCGTTTGTTTACATTGGTGCGACTTGATTTTTGATTTTTTTAAATCCTATATTTGTCATGCACTGTTGTACGTCAAGTTTATTTATGCATTCAAAGAAAAGTAGGCTTTCACCATTGTAGCTCTTAAAGCTAAAATCGTTCGCTTTGACACCTTGGAATGCTCCTAAATATTAGCTAACGCCCTTAAAAATTCTTGCTTCAATGAATATTTGATATTCTTGTTGTTTTTAAATCACCCCGAATGTTGTTTGTTAGCTAAGAAATTTAAGAATTTCTTAATTACGATTTATTGGCGTGCCTAGACGACGGCAAAAGCGTTCCGATTCGGTAGCATCCTACAATCTAGCCTCTCACGTCGCAAAGAAATCCAAGTTGGCGGACGTACTATTGGACGGTTAGAACAATGTGGAAGCTGGCATTGAGGCCATTTTCTACTCCTCTCCCTTCACCGACAGAACAACCAATTGGTTTCAACTGAATCGTAAAGTGGACTTAAATCTCGACGCTCTCGCCGCCCGCCCTAATGGCATTAAAATTACTCCTGCTTTCAGCCTCCTTTCCCCGTCTGCAAGACATGATTAGTTGTTACTAACCTGATCCGTTTTGGTCAGTACATCTTTGTTATCCACTTCTGTGTTGTTGACTGCTTGCCTCTGTACTTTGTTGAATTATTTCGAACTGGCCTGAGATGCTCGATTAGTCAGCGTGTAATGATCAGCCTCCTACAAGTCTGGAGTAGTTTTCATGTTTGAAGCTTTGGGTGCTGTTTGTTCATTTAACAACACCATCACCTTGAGAAGTTACGTAAATTCACAGGGCTCTCACGACCTTTCATCCCAAATAACGTCAATGGGGATTGTCTATAATAGTTGGGGTAGAGTAGAATAGATTTGGCTTCTTAAATGGTGGGGCTTCCGCGCCTAGGATGTTCCAAATAGTTTCTATCCGAGTTGACTGTGAAGGGAACATTCAGGAGTCGGTTACAATGGAGAATTTAAGCTTGTGATGATGAGGATGAAAAGCTTTGGAGCATTTCCAGGAACTTCATTTGTTTTGACTTAACCGATATTGGATTCACTTCTGCATTAAACAGTATATATTATTACCTGTGAATGGGCGAAGAGGATGGCTGGGCAAGTATTGGTCGTTGAATATGGTTTCGCTGGTTTGGGATGAACGTTTTTCGTTCTTAGATGAACAATAGAGCTAAGTAGAAAAGTTTGTAGGAAAAATATCCCTACATGTGTTTATCCGTTTTTTTCTAAAAAGCTGAATCTCTTGGTCGCTATTCAAGGGATTTGGCCGATAGTTTCATGAACAGCTTCCAACCTAAAAGCGGAATGAATTTGCTTCTTAAAGATTGTGTTAGAGTCGTCAATACGGTTACCTCCTAGGTCTGATGAATGTTAACAACAAACATCGGCAGCCATGGGTTTTACTGCAAGTCACAACTGTGTGACATTTCACACGTGAAACAATTTTACACTGCAAGCAAATCCGATGATTTTACTGGTTGAGACGTTAAAATACCTTCAGTGGAGTCTATTTATCCTGAATATGAACGTATTTTCCATCCATTTGAAAGTGCTAAGCAAAACACGTTTAGAGTTGGCAAAACTAGGGTCTCTTAATGATAAGACTTTGATAAATACTTAGTGACATTTTCTAGATGAGATTTAACCGTCAAACTTTTCAATTCATACTGCAATCTAGGCTTAGAAATAAGTGTAACCAATTTGCCGCTAAATACACAGACAAAACCGTCCATTACTTTTGTTTTTGACGGGTAACTTCATAACTTGGGACCATAATGAACGTCTTCAGGCACGCAAATTTCTGTTGCTGTAGTATCATTTTCATCCTTCTACTTGCAAAATTCAAGTCTAGACATTTTTGGCATAAATATCTGGTGTTATTCAATTCGTTTATCCAATGTGTCAATAAAGATTAAGATTTTCTTCGTTTAAAATTTCATTTTTAGGTGTGGAGAAGCTGGGAGAAACTTCGTTTCCCTCATCCGCTGGTACGCTGGCTATCTTCACAACCCTCTTCCAATTCAAAAGTCGTCTTAGTTGCCCCACTAACACCTCAACGAGGCCTAACTCCGCCATCGAATCTGTATGCCTCACAGTACAGTGTTAGACTTGTGTCAAATTTTGATATCCCTGATGTGAACAAGAATTCCACAATTCGCCGTGCTGAATATAGTCGCCGTACTGATGCTGTTCGTCATAGTCTCGACGTGAGGCACAATCGCAGCCACCAGCAATCACTTTACGAATTCGCTCTCGTAACCTGTCTAGGCGTCAATTCTAATGCTTCATCTTCGTCTCTACTCCTTGATTTAGCATGTGGCGCCTTTCTACCCTTTGGAGGTTATAGTCTGACAGCAAAACTCCCCTTCAAACTCGGTTTGGATCAGTTGGTACGCCCCATTCCAGGCATCGACTTTGCGCGATGCTCATTGGTAGGCTTGAGGCTACCGCTTCGTGATTCATCAGTAGATTATCTTGTCACCATTTCATTCGCGCAGTGGGTGACGGCGAATGGTGATCCTGGGGTAATCAGCCTCTTTGCGCAAGAATGCGTTCGGGTGCTGGCAAGTAGGGGCGGAGCGGCTGTTTTCCAATTTTATCCTGGAAACAAGGGTGATCTTGATGCAATTTGTGAAGCTCTTGCAGATGCGCATCACTGTGTTCACGGGTGTCGTTTAAGTGCTCGACCTGTTGAAAACAGGGGAATTAAAATATTTGTATACTGTGTAAGGTACTAATGTGAATTCCTTACTGTTTTAACCCATGTTCCTAGAATAATGCGTACTTATTCTGCTTTTTCTAACCGTTACTTTTTTTACTGGCATAAACTTTCGGAGGCAGGAAATGGGATAGAAATGTGGCAAAATATATGCAAATAAATTACTGGAAACACTTCATCTCTCCAATAATTTACCTATGTCTAGGCCTGACAAGCTAATTTGGAAGATCTAGCCCAAACGGAACGATGTAATTTACGAACCAAGGTGAGTGGTTCGTTGCTGGTGGGTGTGAATGCTACACTCTGCATGTCTTTTTTGAAGGCCCTGCCAAAACGCACGAGCCCAAAGTACGAATTAATTACACTAGGTACACAGCCCTCCTTGGGCCGTTTAAATAGATCAAATACTTAGCTACATTCCGTCTCTGCTACTGACTGTAGACGTTTACGGCTTTTAAGTCTTCGTTTGCAATTACCTCATTTTCACACTTTAGTACAACTGCTGCTCACCGTCTTGCTCAACGGTAACTGGACTTATGCGCGGCTCATTTGCATAACAGAGCACATCCGCTACTGCGTGTCGTACCACCACGATGGCCTGCGTTTTCGTGCCTGTGAAATTTAAAGTCCCAGTTTGACTAGAACGCTCTGCGCTGATGCATAGCAGGGTCGCTGGATTATTAGCGCAAGTGTAATGAATGCAATTGCATGACTTCGCGCCAGAACCCAGGTAGTTGAACCTAAAAACTAGATTATCTTCTGCATGAACTCTTCTCTCAGAGCCTTATCCTTAGTTTTTCCTTCGATGTGAAAAATACTGAATTCCGTGAGGAATGATAAATTTTGTAGGTTAGGATGGCTTAACCGATCACTTGTTGTGGACCGCAATGTGAGGGCTCGCTGCTTTAGTGCTGCACACCGAGTACACTTTATACCCTAACTGTTATATATAAGAATTTTCCCCATAAAAGTTGATTTAAGAAATAAGGCATAATTTGGAGTTGCTTCTTCGGGTTAAGTCTAGCATCCCCTTCTTCTATCCATTTTTTACGCATTTCTACGCTCTCTTATCATTTATCCGGATTGCCTTCCACCTCTCTTGTAACTCAGATGCTTGTAAACATCATAACCACTTTCAAAGTTGTATAATCCGGTCTATGCAATGCAAATGGGTTTGAACTGGTTACTGAAAGCCACTGGGACTTCGATTGCAACATTGGTGGGTTACACTATTTAAACAGGCGCAATTTTTGTGGTATTTGGGCGCGGCAGCTGGGCAACAAATTCAAGAGTTGTAACTTTAATGACTTGAGTCTGCCGCTGCAGCGCCTAAGTCTTCCTCGAAGTTATTATTGCCATGAATGGGTCTGGATGGTGAGTTATTACCAGAAGCTCAATTATCCGAAAGCCATGGCATCAAAGCATTGACCGAAGCTGCTAATACCCATGAGCTCGCATTTTTAAGCAAATATTTTAAACAAACAACCCTTTCTTACGTCGTCCTTATGAGGTAGCTGCTGATGTTAATCGTGAGTTGCCCACTCGAACAGTTAGCTTATTTCCCCCATATTACTACCAGAAGAAAGCGAAAGGTAAGTTATTCACCCTACATGTGAAATTTTTGTAATAGATTTATCCTAAAAAGCCACTTTAAAAGAGAAGGTTGAAAGGCAAAAAAGATAGTGTTTTTACTTCCACGGACATTCAAAGAACCGTCGAAATAGTGTCAAAGTACCGTCAAGGCAATCTAGCTTTTTATAATTAACGACCTTACATCACATAATTAAAAGGAAAGAGGAAGAATACACCATTTCTTTAATTTTATACTTTTCGTTGATTTAAGGTGCTTCTCTTGTATTGAATTCAAAAGTAACCGAGGCATTTAAAACCTTGAATTGGGTAGAAAACTTGTTTATTGCTCCGAATAAAAAGGAGGATAATGAGTATAATTTGTGCATTCCCTGGGCACCTGATAGAGACAAGTAAATTCTCCACAACCCTTCGTTAAAACAAATGGGAATTGCTATTGTTCATGACTAGAAATGGAGTCATTCGCTCTTACTAAAAATCTCCATTTCCCATTCCTGTCAAACTAAGAACAAATAAGCAAGTTGCACCAATGTTTTGTCTCTCCATTCAATAGACATTGGAGACAAAGCATTCAAGTCAAGTCGGCTTCCTGAACCTTACAACAGGAAGTAACACATTCTGATAAACGGATATTATATTTAGTATTTCACACAATTCTCATTGTTTAACTAGGGCGCCTTATCCTAGACTTTCGCCTTGTCATCAGTGCCAGCGAACCCAGATCAGATTTCATCTGCCTACATTCTGAACCAAGAATTGATTGCAGGCCCGAAATCTGAATCGTGATGAAGTCTCATGCCACATTTGGCAACAGATTCAACGAATTGACACCCTGGATCCCGAGGATGATATGGGCTGGACTCTGCGATTCTGTATCAGTGTGCATCAATTTGTCTTAAGTTTGCTCAAATTTTGCCTGCATAAGTTTCATTTGTTTTGGCTAGTTCTTGAGTAATGGTTCAGGCTCTGAGGAGCCCATGATCTGAATATTGCATCAGCAAATGTTGCGAATTGGCGCCTTTTTACTTTTAAAAATGTCCAATGCTCGTGGATGACTTAATTTATAGTTTTCACGAAAGAATTTGTCCATTGTGCCGTTGGTTGTGCACAGGAATGACTACTTAGGTTGTAGGCCAGAATTATCGCTGATGTATAGACATATACGCAGCCGTTCTTGACATGTTTGCACGAATCCTGCGTCATACTGCTGAGCAGTTGAGCGTCTTAGCACTGTACCACCCCGCTGGACGTCTTCTGTGAATGTGCGAGTGTGCGAGTCGCACGCTTCCATTTATTACCACACGGAACTACTTGCACGCAATACCAAATTTGTTTGTTACCTTGATTGGCAATATCGCAAATTTTACGGAGAAAAATAGTTAAATATTAAAATGATTCCAAGTTTTGACTGAGGTGAGTAAAATGACAGTACAAGTTGATTTTAAATAGGACTGAACCATTTGCTCATTGGTTAATTTCAATGTCCTTTGCTTGTTTTAAATAGGTAAAATTACATGTACAATTATGAAATATCTAGTTAGCCGCTGAACCCATTAATCGAAGTTATTGTTTGGGTTACATGAATCAGAAACTGCAACATTGCAATTTTTTCCTGTGCACTTGCAAGCTCAGATATGTCTTCTGAATATGTAATGCTACATTCCTCGTTTATGATAGAAATCCACTCAAACTCAAATGAGGCAATTTTAAATAAATTATTTTATCTAAATTCGTCTGCTAATGGTTTTCCGCACTTCAAAGGAAGGAGTAGAATATTTTAACCATGTGATACAAATTGAGTAACCGAAATTTTTGTTGCTGGATAAGAACGAGCAACAAAATAATCTTGCTTTCACTATCAAAAAGTCATCGCGATGTATTCTTGATAGATTGTTCTATACCCAACCTGAGGGGACTTCATACAGATGCGTGCGAAAAAGCAAAACATCTCTGCCATTGTCTTCCCTATTTTCAGTCATAAAATAAAAGCATAACAGGACAAAATCGGTGGCACACGGCACAAACTGCGCAATTCTAGCCGGAATTTTATTTAATGGTTATTTGTTCTATCCTTCATTTGGCAACAGTGACTTGATTAATATTCTGGAACAATTTTTTAACATTCGAGAAGTGTTCTATCCCAGTCGGATGGATTTTGGCCACGATTGGGAAATCGTAGCTGAATGCGAAGGCACCGCGACAACTACTTGCTTTTAGAGGGTGATCGCGGACATGCAAATAACTGGAAAACGTGGGTGAATAAAGGAAAAATTCTACTTTCTAATTAATCCAGAAAGTTTTGTGTAACCAGAAGTCATGTTTTTAAGAGGTCTGACGGAATATTCAACAGTTTAAGAGCCAATAAGGCAAATTGCACAAGAAAGCCTGCCTTGCCTCAACTACGGTTCTCGAAATTGCATAATTCCCTTGACAGCGTTAAAAAAGGGTGAGATGTGCATAAGTTGTGGCGTTCCACGAGAATAAACCTTAGAGGAATGAAAATATGCAAATAACTAAGTCTTTCCTGTTCAGGATGAATTGTATTTTTGCTTGTAAACTTCATTCATTATTAAAATAATGTAGTCTGCCTGTTCCTTACAGGTCACATACTACTTAAGTGCTTAAATTTTTCCTTTTTCGGATGGCTTTAATTAGACGTACTGGTTGTTGTGACCGTAAATAAGTAGTGATGGGTCAAAATTACAAGAGAAATTGGGACCTTGTCATGACCAAATCCATCATATATTTTCTCCACAAAACGCAAATAAATACTCGCTAGTTGTGTACAGGCGGTCTTTTATTATGTTTTTTTTTTGTCACCGCCTCTACTTGTCCCTCCCCATCCGTTTTAAAATATGTTTGCGTAACAATAACTGCTAGCGGATCACTAACTATTCGTTCAGACAAGCAGGCTCTGTTTATTTTGCAGCCATTTGAAATAGAGCGTTTGCCATCCTACAAAGATCTTTTGACAAGGTTTGTTTGAATGGTAAAGTATATTATGTTGAAACCGCACCAAAAAGACATTTTCTTACAATATTTTGGAATTTAAATTGCCTTTTAAAACTCCATTAAACAAGGATTTGGCTGAATTGTACCTATCTACCAACATTTTATACTGTGTATTTAATGGTTAAATTTCACTGGAAAGTGTTGAGTCTTTTCCGCTTCACCTGTAGGTAAAATGATATTAATTTTTTACTATTTCCTGTGGAAAGTGAAGTGCTAATAAAGGGGATAGGTGAAATAGCAAATTGTCTAGAATCATCATGACGGATAGAATTTGCAGTTTCTTCCCAGAACAAACTAAAATAAACGAAATTGCCTGTTTCCCCCATATGGTATTGTGTCTGCCTTCTACGATAGAGAAGATCACTTTGGATACGGATTTATGCAATGTTCAATGTTGTTTTTTTATGTCCTCCCAGCTGGATATAAACCCTTCAAGGCCTTCTTAAACACTTTTCTTAATCAGACTTTTCCTTTAACCAGACACGTCCGCCCTACAAATTGGACTTCTATGACAATGGTGAGGTAGAAGTACAGGAAATACATTTGCAATTCCCAACCGTCAGTTTCACTTATCATGTGCGCACTGAGGAGGTAATCAAAAAGTTGTTAATAAAGGAGGTCAATTTACTCAAATTTAAAGTGATTTTTTTCATTACATTTTGAATTCTCAAGCAGTGAAGACGGCCATACATCCTAGAATGCATTTCATAATAAAAATAAACACCTCAACAGTTTAAGACTATATTTTGTCAAAAAATGCCTATCCTTACCTTCTTGTTAATGTAAATTTTTGTACTGATAGTAGCAAATAAAATAATAAAACTAATATTGGATCACAGCTATTCACGACTGATTAATGTACATGTTACCAAGAAAAGATTCCCCCAATTATCAACCATAATAAGTTAAAACTTAAAACTTCATAAAATTTAAGCTTGGTTCGCCACTAAAAGTAGATCTCTTTGCGTTCGCTGCGTCTATCTTAAACAGCACCTTAATACCTACTTGAAAACAGGTTGTTCATATATTTCAAATATTTTATGCTAGTTTGGAAAGATTCTTGGATGTCTGTAGGCGATTTTCCACTTTACTGTTAAACCGAACATTGTTGCCACCAGCACGCATCCAGGCGACACTGATAGTTGCGCATTGCGACACAAAACGTGTCTGTAAACCTACACTTTCCGCGAACCAATCAGCGTCATACAGTGGGAGTAGTGCTCAGGGTTTACCAATTAGATGATAGGCCATGTGGAGCCAGCCGCAGCTTCCCAAACCTCCCACCATGGAAATCCGCGGGTATCGCAAAGGATGACCGACCGGAGGCAATCGGTGGCGCCTAGCACCTCCTTCCGATGGCGTTCACGCACCATGACAACCGAGGACGAGGAGAATCTTCGTGAACAGACGAGTCCTAGAGACCAGGGAATGTTCCCAGGCGCTTTTCATACTGCCAGTGTAGCTACTAATCACCTGCGCCGGATGACGAAGATGTTTAGCATTGACAAGACTCGGCAGGTGATTCGTGTTGCCCTGGAAGACAGTGATCATGTGGAATACGTTCGGTTGGCCTGTGAACATGAGGAGCTCATAAAAGAGATGAAACAGTTGAGGGGATTTGTGATAGAACTCTGTGAACGCTATGAGGCTACAAGATCGTTGGATCCGTTGCGACGGTACAAACGAATGCAGTCGATGGCAAAGACCATTGTACTGCAGTTACGAGTCAATGATCCCACAGCCGCCTTGTCTGCAGCTTGCACTGCTGCTAGTGACAGTGGGTATGAGACCTTTGATCCGAGCACAGCTGGTGCTGGTGGTCTAATTGTGGGAGATGTTCTTCAATCATCTGTAAAGCAGAAAGAGATGAAACTGAAACACGAAAAAATGGCTCATGGTATGTTTTCGTTTTGATAGCATGATGCATTCTCATAGGATTCTTACTGCTATAATGGAAATGTACGATATGCTAAACCTTTTAGCGAATTCGGTAAAAGTGTCTGCATAGTTCCTTTAGATTAGATAAATTTGATTGAGTGTTTTGCAACGCATCCATCGAGTCATGACAATCAATTTTTATCTAAGATTAAGTTGATAAGTTAATGTCTTACGTGGATAAAGGGTAATAATACGACTTTTGAATGCACTTAGCAAGGTAGTACTTAAAATAGTAATATTTTGATTAAGCGAGAGAGACTTATTCCAAACTAAGGTTTAAATTTAATTGCAGGCAACGTATGGTACTCAGGATTAATATTTTTAAAGTGAAAACACATTAATTATGACATCCTCGGACAAGTTGCACTTAATCAGCATCTAACCTCAGATTTACTAAACAAGAAAACGTGCAAATTGACGGTCACGACAAGTTTTCCATGCAAAAATTACTGAGAACCGTTAGTTTAAATAAGGTGTCAAAATAAAGAGATGAGGTATTTTATTTATCCGCAGATGGACCAAGATACGGGAGGAGGTTGCAATCTGTAATTTGGTACTAAGTCTCGATTTTCTTTTAGCAAATGAACAAGATATTGACATCGCTATGCTTCCTCATAGGCCACTTTTCTATTTTAAAGTTATGGAGGATTCGTACCACCTTGGACGTTCATAACTTGACAATTAATATCATGGCAGTTCAAAAGACCATTTGCTTAAAAAAACTTGCAGTTCATTAAAAATGGCCCGTACGTAGAACAAGACATCACCGAGGAAAAAAAAACAACATCGTCACTCTTAAGAAAACTTGTCAGTCGTACTGCACGTACAGCGTCTCTCAAATAAATATTTGCATTGGAATGAGTTTTTCGTCTTAAACAACAAATTTACTCAAAGTATCTGGTTGTAATTGGGAAATTTTTTGATTGATAGGTCTAGCCAACTGGCAACTCAAGAGTCACCTTGATCTTCACAATGGTACACTCTCTTTGTTTAGCTAAATATGACAGGTTGCAAAGTGTAAGGCAATAAATTAGGTTATTTTAGACTCTGGATTTACCATTGTGGATGCCATAATTACGTAAAAATACTTTCGTATTATGTTCATGGTACGGTCGAGGCATATTGTGCGGGAAGATATGATATTACACAATGCAGATTTTCTATATTTTAGAAAAAATACTAAAAAGGCCTCTTTTGCGGTTTCCTAGAGAAGCTAAACTTATGAATTTTAATCAGCGGGGAGCTTATCCCCCTGTATTCTATTCTTTATCTCAAATGGGGTGTAAAGTGGACTTAAGACAGCCGTTGCTATTCACCAAGAGTTATGTTAGCGCAAGAACGTCCCATTTCCTGTGCTTGCACCACTGTTTTACTCTTTTATTAGTTACTTTTCTCATTTCCACTGAAATGTTTGGTGGTATGTACAAATAAGAGTAGCTGAATGTGGTGAATGCATTACCGGTCACCTGAATGGTCTTTGTAGGAAAATGCGATGCGTGTGAAAGCAGTACATTGTAAAAGAGAAAAGTGAACTTAATGTTTGAAGGTGCCCCAAGTCTTCCCCGAAGTCATAATAAGCCAGAGTAGTAGTACAGAGCATATATTACTAACATGCATAAGGTCTGGGGGCTACTAGATTGCCCATTTTAGCCACAGTTATGCAAGCCATCAAATCGTCCCATTGGCTTGGTCATCTCTTTTGCGTTTAAAGGGAAAACCGCCAAACATTCAAGAGATAGAGTCGGATTTTAGCTTTCAAAGCTTGCTAACAAAATCGGTTGGTAGGTTTTATTTTAACAAATTAATTTTTAGACTGTTGAAGTGATTTCTATTATTAACGAACCATTTTTTTTGGAATTCCATGTCGGTTCTTTAATCTTTTCCACCCTGGTCTAGCCGTTTTTCTCTAAGATTATATTAATGAATAAACTATCAAAATGAAATATTTTAGCATGTTTTTAAAAGGTGGTTTATCCAAGATACAGTCGATGTCAAATGTTTAAATGAGGCATTTCATTTTATATAATTCACAGTTTACTCGACTTTCAGTTAAAACTAAGCAAGTCTTTCTTGGCGTGCACTCCTGCTAGACATCTGAGAATGTTTCATTAAGAGGAGAACTGCCAAAGCCCGGATAGGAATTTTGCATGAAATTTTAAGAAACGTCGTACCAAATGGCAGGATGGACAGTATACTTAAAAGTTGTATCAATTCTCTTATCCACGATGAGAAAGGAAATATGAATTTTGCAGAAAAAATACTCTTATTTCTAAAGAGCTAAATTATTTTAAAGGATGCCTGAATGAAGCGAGCAAAATGTCCTTCAAAAAATGATACCTGTTTAGCCAGCTGGAGTCGGCCAAAACTGCGCATACCTGTGGGTGATGGCTTGTTATTGCGTGAGAATTAAACATCCCTCCAGGCAACTTCAAAAACAATTTTGCTCTGCAAAATCTTCTCTTCCGCTATTTACTTTTTTTCTGATTGGCAGAGTGGTCTGCATTGAGGATGGGTTTAATATCTACGTATCAAAATCAAAAAAAGGCTAGCAAAAATATTTCCTCAAAAGAGGATTTCAGGGAAAAAAAGGAAAATTCGATTCAGACATCATGTCTTACCCTTATTATTAGTACCCTGGATCTGTGAAAAGTACAGAGGGATGTAACAAATGTGCGCATTTTTTTCTCAACTTTAAATAAAACCCATTCTCCATTTACTGTCGCCCAAGAACGATGCAGAGGGTGGGAAGTAGACTTTACCGGAATTAAGATTTTAGAAAAAAACTGAGTAAATTTTCTTTTTGCTTGCACTTAGGCTTGAGCAAATGGGGTGATGTTAAGTTTGTTTCCTCCAACACTCTACTCAAGCACTTTTCCGGAACAGAAATGAAATATATTCTACGCGGATATGTAGAAAACACGCTCTGAATCAAAATATCACGTTTTTTTGACGATGGCGTGATTAAAATCTTACGCCTTTTCCAAAATACATGCGTGGAATGAATGTTACATTAATTTTACAATCGCTACGTTTTGCTTCGGAGCGTCGAATAGGAGAAAAAAAAATGGTATTGTCAAGTTCATCGACTGTTTACTTAGGTAGATAGGTGCGAAGGAGTAGCCAAGCTTACGAGGCATGTCATATCTTGGCGATTAAATAAGGTAAGTATATCATTATACGGAAACAACTACCGAATCCACGACTTTTCTGTTTTAACTGCTTGCGAAACTATTCCTTACTTGAGAAAAATTAAGAAACAATTATTTTAAAAAGAAAATCCCTTCTTTTGACGTATAAGATAGAAACTAAGGATTACGGAAAATGTTCTAGATTTATACCTTTGTTTATGTTTATTAGGGCAACATTTTGAAGAAAAATAGGCTTAAAATCGTGTTTTCACAAAACCAATGTGGCCCTTTGATTGTTCTTTGTAGCACTATCAAGCGAACAACTGCAGAACGATATATCAAAATTTCACTCAGAGAACAAAAAACTGCGCTGTCGCATAGACGCCATCACGGAGGCGATTAACAATGTTGATGTTATGTACAACGCTACAAAGACGGAGCCCTTTGTGAAACGCTATGCAATTCTCAAAGAGGTGATCAAAGATGTTCGAAAATTTGCTGACGCCAATGCCGACTACGCATAATGCAATCATATTTCTACACATCTTCATCTCAAACCTTGTTTCATAAAACATCCTAACGATTTTCGATCCTCTAGGTTCTCTCTGTGTTTTCATCTAAACAATTACCTACTTTATGATTAAGTATAAAAGTATTTTCAAAGTAGGCCGGCTTTTTTGGGTTGTACAAGAAGTTAGAAAGCTAGACTCAGTAATTCGTCTTTAATATCCGCGCTTTGGTTTGAGGTAGACAGGGTTTCAGTTGATGGTGTGTTGGTGGTTTTCACAAGTTTCACCCCTACTGGGTGTAATGCCCATGTGAATAGAAGAGATATGTTAGGACCCTTCTGTTTTTCTGTTGCTCGGGTCTTCAAATTTCTATTATTATTAAGTCATGCATGTCTTTTAAGGAAGTGGTAGGGTAGATGGATGCATGAAAGGTTTTTAATTAACAACTCAAGACTGGATGATTTTCTGGAAAAAAAACTAAATGTTATTGTTGCATATTTCCAAGGTTTTATGTAAAATCGTAAAAAATACCGGGGGCATGGGGGCTTGTAGAGAACAGTATAAACGTGAGCCATATTTGATGTGGTTAAAGTACAAAATCCAGCTTGGTAAGTAACTTTCGGGGAGTAGCATCGTCCCCCAGTACTGGCATTTGCCGCACTTCCACTCCTGTTAGCCAGCCCCTTTAACATCAACTCCTAGTCATGAGAGCATTAAATTAAGCAAACCAACGTATTTATTTCATAAACATATTGCAATTTCTAATCGACGATATTTAATGCAAAGATCCCGTTCATTACGAGTGTTTCAAACTACCCGTTACCATGGTGTCAGAGGAAATTAAACCACTATATCAGATATTTTATAGTTTTAATAGGGCACCAAATAGCATTAATTTTTTCAGTTGATCAGATACTGCTATAAAAGTACGGAGAAAGGAATTATCCTTAGACCCAGATCATTCTACCTCCATTTTATTACTTTTACTCAAGTAATCTCCTTGTGACCCAATTTGAAGAAACCAGTAATTAAAAGAAACACTGAATGTATGGCGTAAATGTATACAATCCACACCCAAATAATGAAGTCGGGATGTGGTATACGTAACTTTGTTAACAAAGAAAAAAAATAAGCTTAATCCTTTTGAAGTTTTATTTGTATTCCATGTCGCCATTTAAAAAATAAACTGGATGTAAGTTATCCGATAGTGTAGACCCTACTTGATGCTTACCTTCTAATTTAAATGAAGAAATAGTAATGTTAGAAACCTTTTATTCTTTCTTCATTTGGTCTGCCATTTTATGGTCACTGTTCCCCATGGGAATGGAGTGCGACACAAGGCGTCAAATTTTGATTAAACTACCTGTTTCTGTGGCATTGGCGACTACCTTAGAAACCCATCGGTTGCCATCTTGAATGATGGAATTACAAAAACAAATCAAATAGTAAAGAGTCAAATGGTGACATTTTAACAATGTGGTTTGTAACTACACCATTTTAGGTAGAAAATAAGCTTTGGGGTATCAAGAATGCATTTTATTTATGATGATATTAAAAATGACAAAAATATTTTATAGAAGGATGATGCCTGTCGTCCCCATGGGAATCAGTGACTTCCATCCAGCCACGTGGTCGGTGGTCTGACTGCTTGTCGCCTGGAGAGTGTAACCAAGCAAACGCGCTGCCTACACTCCAGCATGGACCTCGACCCAGCTATCAACACATGCCTTTGTGCAATGAAATAATTAAAAAAAAACTTAGGTCTGGTTTCTTCTAATCAACTGCTATTCTACAAGGATTTCTCATTCGCATAATCAAATTGTAAATTTTCTGTAAACATGGTGGGAAGTTCGAAAAAACTGAAAAATTTTTCATGCTAAATTTATAATGAAACCAAGAGATTCAAATTTTGGTTCCGATGGATCCTATTAGCATCTTTATTTTAAGTTGATTTTTTACATGAAAATTATAGTTAAGGCATTTTTGGCGGTTATCAGGTCATCAGACAGTCGCGTTGGCCTACACCATGGACGACTCACATATGACTAGGCGCCTGAAGCACAACCACGACCTAGACACTAGACACCCGATCAGATAAATAAACCACTCTTGCACACTTCCTGTACGCTTCGACTAGACACCGTCAGCATGTACTGCACCTAATGTACGCAGAACTCATAAAAGTTATTTCTGAAACGCGCCTTCTTCGTTGCTTATGGTAGCCAGCATGTATGCTTCCTTTGCGAGAACAAGAATACTAGTGAAATTTCAGTGAAATCCAAATGGCAAATTTACTAAATCTGTCTCCCACTCAAAGGCGTGGTGAATGCGCTTTTAACTGAAAAATTGAGAAAATATTAAATATTTACTTACCTACCGCGACCCTGTTCGTGACTTCAAGCTGTATTCTCATGAGCGTTTTATTTAAGACTGGCTATTTGCAGCGGGCGCATTGGTGGATGGTACAATTTAAGTTACCAATTTAACGCCAAGCAACAGACACTAAATTAATGCAATCACAATTACATGTGACTAGTTTTCTGACATCTTTTAAAAGTTTACTCCCTCTATTTGAACCACCTTTTAGTAAATTAAAAATTGTACGAAATCGTAAAAATTGATGATAACTAACCGTAGCGGAAATAGTTAATGTTTTATGATTTGAAGATACATTTTGTATGATGACTTGACATTTCTGAAAGTCAAAGGCAGAGCCTCCTCAGATTTAGCTCTCCACATCAAAAGTCTTCCCCAAGTTATGGTTAGGTTTGGTGACCAGTGGAGAGGAACGCAACTGCGACTCAGTTGAACCGAATTCGCTTACTGAAACCAGCAATGTAGTATTTCGAGTTCATCGCTGAAAGTCTGATAAGGTAAATCGGCATAAGGGGATGTAAATTTGTAGGGTGCAAAAGGTCTGGAAGGCTATAATCAAGGTCCGAGTGGCTTTTCGGCAAAACGGACCCAAAACACGCTGAAAATAAAGGGCTTATGTATTTAAGTCAAATGCACAGATTAACGCATAAAATCATTACAGATATTCATCACTCCTTCTCCACCCATTGTACTCAAACATGAGACGCATGCAAACCTCATGAGGTCAGTTACGTAAATAAGTCAAATAAGCTAATGGCTTTTTAACTAGAAGGAATTGTTTACCCTGCTATCTCTACAGTAAGTCGACATCGGTTTGGCACTACTTTGTAAATTGATTCACTCTTAATTAATACCTTCTGAAATCCTATCTATATTTCTTTGTTATTTAATGTCATTTAGTAGTCTAATTGGTTTGAGCAGGTGTACGTTGTTGCACATACTCTTAACCGACAGGTATTTAGTTAACCAGTTTAGGCTGAACATTGTGGTAAGGATTAAATGACAGTACCGTCGGATTTCCGTCGGAACACGAAGCATTGCCAATGCCACCAGTCGTCCACCCCTTCCATCCTTTTACCACAAAACTACATTCAGACTCACACGTCTCTTAAAGTCTTTGTGGTGGTCAGAACCCCAAACTGCCTTGTGTATGCGATGAATGCGAGAAGAAGTTGTTCACTTATAGTAGATCAAAAAGCACTTACCCTTCATTGCGCATAGTCAGGACTATTGAAAATTCAGTAAAGAGGTCTTTCTTTATTCTTATAAACAAAACGAAAAGCTGAACATCATAGCTAACCATAAAACTTACCATATGCATGGGAGAAATGTAGGCAAAATACTTTTCCATACTTAATTCTTGTTTCTACTGGCATTTCTTCGTCAAGTGATTGTCGCCCTTCATGTTATTTGCAGTGGAACATCACACGACTAATTTGGAAAATAAGATGATGGCAAGGTGGTGAGGGGTAGGTTCATCCGTTTTCAGAGCAAAAACTTTTAAAGGAAGCAATGATTTTTAGCTTAATTTGCTTGGGGAGGTTTGTTTACAGCTATCCGATTATTGTTAAACAAGTTATTCGTATATATACATATATATTAATGGCACTGGTTTTTCATGTTTATTTACGATGGCTTAATAACCTCGCCCATCTCCAGCCATATACTTATGATTAGCATTCCATGGTGGTGCGTAAAGCTGAAAATCAAGTCTGGCAATTTCAAAATCAGTTCGTAATGGATAAACCACTTTGGCTTAGGTCTTCGGTTCAAATAATGAAATAATAACAAAGTCAAAGTAGAAAAATTCAGCAGAGGAGTGGATTCCACTTAAATTACAGGTGCTATAATCGTGTTCAGTCTATTTTTATCTGAACTACATCTTTCAGGAATTTCTCCACAAATCATCGGAATAAAATTGCGAAATCGGAAGGACGATGAATTTCAATAAAGTGAATAAAGATAACCTGAATATAGCTTTTTCTGCAAAGTGAAGTGCATCCAGAAGGATAGATTGAAAGGGAAGTACAAAATCTACTAATATTAGTTTAAAAGCAGCACAATGAAGGGATGACTATGCCTTGAGACTACAAAATTAGTCTCTACATTGACAGAAAAATACTGGGGCTCTCTTTAAGTACAATTTCAATTAGTTGAGGCCTGATCTTGCTGTGCAAAACCTAAAACTAAGGACTAGCCAAAAATCCAGCAGCGCATCACCCCAAAAAACCACCTTCTGTAATGCCTACTTTTAGTAGGCACCCGTCGAATTCAGTGCTATTACTCCTTAAATGAGATTAACTTCCCACCATCAACAATGCAGCATCCTCCGACATCTCTGAAAAGGTAGTAAGTACAAAGGGCTTTTACTGGCACACAGAAGAGATGGCAGATTACAGGCATGAGGAGAACGCCGTAGCATCTAAATGCAATGCAAAAAGACGGAAACTGAAGAAAACCTTTATTCCTTAGAACGGTATTAATTAAATAATTTTCCCACTGAAATAGTATTTGCCAAAAGTTTTACACACTAAATAACTAAAATGTCATTTAAACGACTTTTTAGTTATTTACAATCCTGGAGGCTTATGAACCTTACACTTTTTGAAAGAACCATTTACGCCAATTCGTCCTTCATTATTATTATCGCAGCAATTAGCATCATACTGCTGTGAGATATAAAACTGCTATCATCATCTAAACGATGAAAAATTCACCACTTTGCATTTTACTGTCCCATGGCTGAATTACGGATTAATATCCGCTATGCACATTAAAAATTTAACATTAAATACACGAGATAACATGACGTTTGTAGGCAAAAAAATGTTATTGATGGAACGTTGATAAAGGGGAACACTAAAATTGCAATTCTATTGTCGTTTTATATTTTCATCCTTATTTTTAAATATGAAATTCTCAAAGAAGGCAGTGTAGCTTGCAGTATAACTTTAGTGATAGTTTGTTTTATCCTGTGGGCGTTTGACAAATATACATACTTATTCAGCTGCCTTCAAAAACATAGATATGCAACATTATCTCGTCACGACAACTTTAAGTAAACATTTGACAGCTTCAATATTATTTGAATGCAAATCAATTTAGTCTGTTGAACGAACATAGCTGTCTCGGCAACAAGCCTGCGGAAACTTTCCATGTGCCATCCTGTGTGGCATCGGAACGGGGCAAGATAATCAGAAATAGAACATACTGCTCAGAATTACTCCAAACAAACGCCCCCATTCTGATGGAGAATCAATTTTACATAAATGTAGGTGTTGCATTTAAGGAGAGGACTCCCCATTCCTTATGACGGCCAATTACGTACCCCCATTGGGCAAGTGAAATCCAGATTGACGTGTCCATAGCTATGCTCAAGGCAAGATTTAATGTGAGTAATCATGGTGAAAGAGTTGGTTCACACCTGCATCACCTGGGAAGACAAAGTCGTGGGGAAGGTCACCCAACAATCGGGCGGCACTCAGGCACGTTAGCAAGAGGCAATGACAGTAAGCCGCAAAGACTATCAATTTGTTTTTCCTCATTTCTTCAATGCACGGCATAAGAATGTACCGTACACTTAGCAGAAGCACGGCGCGATTGCAAATCTAGTTTACCAAAAGTGATGTGGTTTAGTGCTCATTGCTTTGCTTCATTTTGGCGAAACAAGTAAACGGGCTTTGATCTACTCGGTTTCTTTTCTGATGGTCGACTGATCAGTACATGTAGAGAAGTCATCTACTTAAGTGCTTTTATCTGCCACTTTGCTCATAATATTATATATCTGGGATGGTTACCACGGTAAATCTTACTGCCACTGTAGGCTTGTATTGCATCAGTTCCACTCAGTCTCGAGCTTACCTTAGATCGTTTACGTACACTTTCATCTCGTCAAGCATGGAAATGTCGTTTTAATGACTAAACTCGTGCTTTAGTGATAAAACTTGTAGGCAAAGGGCCATTTCGTACCATTCGTTAAAACTAAATCCTGCTACAATTCGACGCAGTGCCAAAGGTAATCATAAGCGTGACATGCTAATCGTGTACACAGCATTCTTATTTGAGTAGGTGCAGATCTAATGCTCATTTTATTACGTCTCTGTGTCTTTGAGTTCTCCCCTTAGATGCTGGATTAAAAGAGTCGCATTCACCACGCAATGTTCACATGCAAACACGTCCGGTCCCCGTTGTCCATGCCAGTAACTGCTTGCCCTTTTTACACTCCACAAGGTGTTATTCAACTTGGCAGTATGACCCTATGGCCTCCAAGCCCCTACGCACTTTCACGAAAAGTAGGTATAACATTTTGCCGATTTGGAGAAAACCCAAGGCGCTCTACACTACAGTTGATCCAAATGTGGCTATCGGGGCAGAGTAAAACAGCCTCATCATTGGGGAATTCGCCTCTCTCGGGTGATTAATTAATTATACATAACACAAAATGAGACTTGTCTCCACTTTCTTCCCTCAGCATCCCTTGTCCTGACAGGGCGTCAAAGTACTGAATTGTGCAGCAAGCACTGAAAGAGATGGACACCCTTTTTGCTGCACGGGCAAGGCATGCATATTTTTAATTACATACGACCAGGTTCTTCTGCTTCAGTCTGCAGAGCGTAACTATAAAGGCGTGGCTAAAAATCTCCCTAATCTAGTTGTTTATTCAGTTTGTTAACTAACTGATGATATGTACACCAATATATTGTTATTTTATATTGTTTAAAATTTACTGACTAAAAATTACCTACAAAACATCACCTCTTATTCCATTTGAATTTATTTTACGTAGTACTGCTTTGTAAAAAATTAGTATTTTTACTAATTCTTTATTTACCTCCAAATCATTTTAAAGAAAATGAAAACCTGACAAGTTCATTACTTAATCAACATGTTTTCACTAAGAGATAGAAATTACCAGTATTTCTTCCCAAGAAAGTTGCAGACAAACTTGTGTAAAAAAATTGAATAAATTTAATGCGGACTTGATTGTAAAAATAAAATAAGCGTTGTGAAATTATGCTAACATTTTACTAGACTATGTAACCAGGATTAAGATCTATCCAATTCTCCTCATGAGGCCCAGGCTTCTCTAGTAATGATGGGATGAAAGAGCAACCATCACCCAGAGAAGAAATGCCAGTGAAGCATAAGAGAATGTAGAAGAAGTGAAAGAAGGTCCCTCAGCGCAACTTTGAGTAGTATCGTGTAAGGTGGGTGGATGGTAGGCGTAATTGTTTTAGTTTGAGCAGCTGGTCGAATGCTAGTGAACGGTCTCAAAGAATAAAGCAAGCAAACACGCATTAATTCCTGGCAATGAAATAATATGGAGTGTGTGATGAACGGACCATTTGGAGAAAACCAAAGGTGTATTCATTCACTTAGCAGACTCTGCATTGAAATAGTGGTGAAGCCATTGCTCGTCACAAGTGAGTGAGTAGGCTACTTAAGGTGTACGGCACATTCTTATGCCGTGCATTGAAGAAATGAGAAACAACAAATTGATAGTCTTTGCGACTTACTGTCATTGTCTCTTGCTAACATGCATGAGTGCCACCCAATTGTTGGGTGACCTTCCCCACAACTTTGCCCTTCCAGTTGATGCAGGTGTAAACCAACTCTTTCATCATCATTACTTGCTTACTTTCACTGTAGGTCTTGACATGTCGATCTGGATGTGACTTACCCAATGGGGATACGTAAATGTCTGTCATAAGGAACGGGGATTACCCTTCTTGAATGCAATATGTGCATTTACGCTAAATAGCTTCACCATTAGATTGGAGTAGTTTGTTTGGAGTAATTCTGAGTGGTATGCTCTGTTTCTGCTTATTTTGCCTTGTTCAGATGCCATGCAGGATGGCAGATGGAAAGTTCCTACAGGCTTGTTACCGAGACAGCTATATTCGTTCAACAGACTAATTCGATTCACAAGTGCCGGATTTTAACTAATCTCTTATGAGGTAGAAGATTACTTTTGAATACGAGAAAAATACTGTGTAGTATAGCAATGATTCTTTTATAGGTAAAATGACTTAGAATGATGCATTATTGTAAGTGCGAATGATTGCGTACCATTTGGATATTTGAACATGTTGCACTAGAGTGAGTCGTTGAAGCGGGCTATACCGAACGACCTTGGTCAACTGGAACAACTCTTCCCTTGTAGAGAGCTCCGTAAAGGTTTAGCCAAAAGAATATCAGTAATTATGTAATGATAGAGGTCTAAGGAAGAGTTCATTCAGAATTCTTTGACGCTTCACAGAATCTGTAATGTTTCATTCTGTTAAACACTGCCACTAGCCTTTATCATTATTTAATAAACTGCGCACCAAATCCTTCAGAATCCATAAAGCGTTCACTTTTAAACCGATTCAAAGACTGATTTATTACGAGCCTTAGTTGCTGGATTCTATCACTTACTTTCCTAACTTTTTGCTCTCGGTCAAAAAGAGCAAGTAACTTCCAAGAAAATAAAGTTAAATGGGTGATAGTTGGAAAACTGGTTCTTTGACCTGATCAAATGTAATCTGATCAGCAGTGGCCCACTCCATTCCTTTAACATATTCATTATTAAAAAGTATTCAATTTGATCACATTATATGCCTCACACATATTCTCCACTTTCCAATTTGCAAAAAAATTAACTAATCCAAATAAATAAACAGACTTCTTTGCATCACCTTAAGATAATCATTGTTTGCTCACTAAAGATTGTGTCTGTCTCGCATCCAAATGCCATGAAAGACAAATCTGCCCATTTTCATTAAGGCCTGCTTTCAAAAACTGCCATTTATTTTGATCTCAGTTCAAAAAACCAATGGAGCTATCCGACAGTTTGATATTTGCTGCTTTTATTAGTTGAACCTCAGCCTTCAGTCGCTGAGTTAATTAACTTTTCAACTATTTTATGTTGCTCTATTGAATAATAGGCGATGTAAATGCCTTCATTTAATGATAAGGCGATTTTTCAACTTATTTATTATTAAAATTGCTTTGAAAAGATGACTGGTTAAACGTTGCTAGTCAAAACTTTGATATGGAATAGAATAATCTTGATTTATGCAAAAAATAACACGCGAAAACTACTCATTACCAAAGTTGTCAATTCTTTAATGGAGGGAAAATTAAAGAGGTATAACGCCTCCATGTATAAGTACACATTAAATTTTTACAAACACAATAAAGTAAAGTTCTAAAACCTTTTAAAATTCAGTTACTTGGGCACTCCTAATACGTTTGCTATCAGCCCTGCTCTGCGTCACGTATGCGTGACATTTTTTATCGAGTCATAATAACCGGTTGCAAAAACTCTTATGCTGCAAATAAATTGGTTAAATCGGGAAGTTGCAACAAATTTGGATTTAGGTTTTCCCCTCTTTTAGGTAACAAAAAATTGGTCTGTTCATGAACGCGGAAGTTGATAGTGTGCTCGAACATCAAAACATCTGGCAAGCATTGGCTTACCATTAGGATGGTGGCAGCGAACTTGCCAACTGAATACATGACAAGGATGTACTTTAAATTGACTGTACTAGATTGAATTATTATAATAGTTCAAACTACTCTGTCAACAACTTTTCACACTGGAGTATTTTAATTTAATATATACTACATCATGTGTCTTTGGGGAAGCAATTAAATGAGTAAAACAAGTAGTATTTTCTATGAAGATGATGCAAAATGAGCCACTTTTGCTAAATCAACACTTTATCTTCTCCCAGTTGAGAATCAGTTAAACTCGCCTACACGTTCTCTCTTTTAAGAAGAGATTATGTGGCCCATCTCCTGTCAGATAACGGAAATTTATTCTTTGTGAAAAGCAAAATTATCCAGCTATTTTTTGAGGTAAATGGCTTTCTCAAATTTTAACACCTGCTTATTTAGGTCCTCGTTCCATTCAGCACACAACAGTGGACCATAACTCTGGTAAAAAACTGAAATCCAAAGAGAATAAACTGCAGCATTTTTCCCGCAAAGGTTCTGTGCTACATTTGCATAACTACCCTGGCCTTTGAGTAATGAATGGAGAGCAAAACCATTAACGGATTTATCAGCACCGCCGAATCATTTCAGGGTAGTCTGCTTGGAAAATTTGTCTTTATATTCACTGTGCATTCGCATTTTAAAATTGATAATGCTTGCTACCTTTTGTCTTGGTTTCACCGATCCTGCAATGGGATTCGTTACCTCTGCATTTTCACCACACCACGAATCTTACCTCCTGCATCAGTCGTTTCATTCATTCCATAAAATAGAGGCGAGAAAGTTAACCCCTACCACTGGGATCACCATTGATGCGAGGACGGAGCGTCTACGTTTAAACCATTCGGGTGCATTACTACAGGACAGGTGGGATAGCTGAATATCCCATCATCATTCTACTGCAGAAGTTTGCAGTCATCTGCAGATATCCTCGGGTTCTAATTTCACATTCCCGTTCACAAAAAGCTTCCTTCATCACCCCACGCCGTTCCGCGCTTGTACGCCCCACCGCTGTTGTCCGCCATCCATGCGTGACCAATGGCACCCAGACCCGCCCAAGCCACGACATTTACGTCGGCTACCACCGGGGAACGGCTACTAAGTTTAGCGTTGGTACGACAGCGTCCCTTTTTATACCTGCGAAGTAATAAAATATGGTTTGAAATAACCTTTCCTCATATTAATGTATCGTTGTGAAATTATTTTTAGCACCAGTGTTTAATGTTCCACACCACCTGGGATCATAATGGAGTTTTCCACAGTAGCTTAATGTGGTAATGCATACAAATTTTGTTAAACACTGAAACGGGCAAATTAAAAGAAAAAGTCAAATCACCTTAAAGATCTTCATCAATTTCAAAGAAAAATGTTTTTCCCCTTCACAGAAGAAAATGCAATATGGAGTTCAGATTCATCTCAGGTGTGATCATGAGTTGACAATGAAATAATTAGAGCATTGCAGCAAAAAATGGCATCTTTATGCCGTAGAAGAGTATTATCTTTGTATGGTTTATTAACTTCTTCTCCATTTAGACTTTTACAGTTGCATTAACGCAGATAAGGCCATGACTACAAGGATTGGCATGTCTGTAGTTCTACCTCGAAGAATTTATTTGCGATAGGAGACACCAAAGTTTAATAGATCAACGCGATGATTCATCTTAAGCTAGCATTTTTTATTTGAAGTCTGAAGAACTCAGAGATGCCGTTAATTGAATGATTTGGTTAAAACATGTTTGTAAGTTATCGTTCATTTTGTGAGAAAAATGTGCGCGTAATCACTATTAACCCCCTTGTGTGCATTCAATGCCACTTTAAATAGGATATGTTTAATTATTTCTAAAACTTATTTGGGCTTTTTTTGTCAACACCACCTAATATGCATAGGGTAGTATGTTGTGGGATGGTTTTTCTGCTTGAGTTGGTTTGAGAAGTGATTGATATTTTGACTTTCTACTTGTGTGGCCTTGTTAGCATTTATTCTCCTATGTTGGCAATAAACCTCATCCAGTGATGGCATGTCATATTACGTTTTAACGACCGAAGTGACAGTACTACTGAAATGATTCAGGTTAATTTTATTCCAACACCAAATAGTAGGTCTCTCTTTTTATCACTTCACTTTGAAGCATTTGGGATGTTTATAAGCATTACATCTTATTTTTTGCATTGTTTTTTTTGCAATTGATAAGTAAGTTAGGCAATTGAAAACTAGCAATTTTTAATGGAACAAACTTTTACATCATTCGACATCCTGTTTCAGAAAGTTGGATTAAGAAAAACGTCTTGAAGAAGACATTCTGTATTGTGATATTGTGGGTTTCCCAAACGATCAAAATTTTATGAGCAAATTAAAATATGTGTTCCCCTTGGGGATTGAAGACGCCTTCCTAGTCACGAGGTTCGTCAATTTACCCGCTTGCCACCCAGATGGTGTATCCAAGCGCATTAAGAGGTCTTCTAAATAGAAAAATAATTTTTTAGTTCTCTCACATAACTTTCATGTGAATGAACACGAAGCTGATTTGAGCAGCTGCTTCATCTTAGTAAATAAACAGTAAATAAATAAATAATAAAGTTAACAGTTTATTCCACGTAAACACATAATTCTTGAATCCGGCGTCTGCTGCGGAAGAGGCAACCAGGTTTCACTGATAACAAAACGTCGTGCTGTAAGATTATCATGCAAGCTTTATGAGAGAAAATTGGGCCAAATTTAAGGGCTCAAACGAAACCCTAATTGCATTTTATAGGTCATTAAATTCCTTCAAAAGTAGTCCGGCTGTATACTCATGCATGATCATTTGCAGTGACCACTGTTTTTTAAATAGATAATTTTAAATTACCTTCCTAATTTTTATAAATTACTCCTGCACCTTGTCTTATTAAGTTTTACGAAAGACTCAAATTCATCACTTAGTTTTGTTGCTAATGAGATACTATTTGGTCAAGCCTCATGCTCACTGTTGTGTTGAAGCAAATCCTGTTATGAAGAGTTTTTCGTATTCTGCAAATGAGTCTAGAGTGCGTAAGGAATTTTGGCAAAAGATGTCAACACTAATGAGCAGTGACAGCATACATTAAATTGGCGTCGTTGTTAGCTCATAAGCAATGCACCCATGCTAATATTCTGACCCTTAAGTGGATATGCTACCAGTATTACCATTGCTTCTATCCAGTTCCATATTATTCCATAAGATGTTATTCATTATCACCTCCTTATGTCCCACACCGTCAACACACTCACTTCCACACTTCAAGCGGAAAGAACCAAATGGCAAAACAAGTGTAAATTTTAATAATCACCATTTCCCGGGACCTAATAATTGCATTGATTGTGTTTTCAAGTGTTATTATATATCTTCCAATTCCAAAAATTAACCAAAAATGTTTTAATCCATCACTTTCTATGATAGAAAGCCGCATAGAGTTAGTGTATTCGATCAACCTTGGAATAAAAATTAACGCGCAAAGTCGCGGTAACTACCAAGTCTAACAAACAAATTTTAGAAAGTTGACAATTTTAAAAAATCCTGCAGGTGGCTGCGATGAAGGGTCTGGTGATTGTCGAGGTCAACAAAAGGTCAGCTTGAAGATTGCTCCTTGCCAGAACTTCACTGCACTGTTATCAGTGGGAAGATTCCTGTTTCATGTTAGTCAACCAGTCGCCACTGATCACCCGTTGGTACCACTCTATGTCCTTCCGAAGGCGTCATGAATAGGCACCTGACAGGTATAACACCACTAAGCGTAGACAATGTAGAAGTGGAGGAGGCTAATCAAGAATTCCACGCCCACTTTTATCTTGAGGTCATTTTTGTCTTATAGAATAAATATACAAAATTTAACTAAAATTATCCCCTTTTTGGCTTTCATGAACTCTCATATAACGCAGATAATGCCGAAAATTTCATTTCCAGTCGACCGAGGGAGAAATAAGTCAGGTCGACAGAATATAGCGAAATACTTAAAAAAGCAGTAAACATAATCCCACAACCTTAGAAAGAGTGTTAGTGCAGAGCTGTTCAATCACTACAATAAATGACTACTAAGTCTAATCGGTGGCGTTCAGCTAAATTCAAATGCAACGTAAAATGATGGATTTGTCAGGTGGAAACCTAATTTTACAATGATTTGACCACTTGCGGGGTGATCAAGGGATATGACGGCTAAATGAGTAAGCAAGTAAGTAAAAGATCCCCTAATTTTTTAATGAGCTGTTGATTCTCTTCGAATCAAGTAAAACAATTTTGGCTGAATCAGTTTAGTTGGCAAAATTTAATGAAAAAAGTGGATATCTTTCTTGTCCTTATCTAAGATTTGATGCACTTGGCTATTGAAAGCAGGCAATGCGTTTTCAATAGACTCCAATGGTTACCCAAGAATTGCCAAAACGCAATCACTAAGATATCTACGAATTCGTTTTTCTTAAAATACAAGTCTTTAGCGCCTAAGCATGCTATATTAACCCTCGTGTAATTTAACCATCAATTACATATCCTTTGATTACCTGTTTTAAATTAGTATTATGAGACTTCTTAGACGCGTTCGCGTGAGTCCATGTTCCACGATTTGCACATCAAAGTGGTTTCAAAAGGTGAAAAAGCACAAATTATTCGAATAATGTAAAAAACAACTGATAGATTAAAAGTAGGCATTAATGAACTCGAATCTATGGACATTAACTACGGGTACTGAACACATAATATACAAATGAGAGCATCGTTGAATCATGCATTCTAAACTTATTTTCTGAACTCCGCCGTGGCCACCGTATTGGAAGTCAGTGGGCTGGAACAAAGATAAGGTGATGGATTTGAGTTGCAATTACAATACACTTGGATCCTCCTTACTCCTACTTTTGGGGTAAATTAACGGCATTTGAGTAGCATTGCTATAGAAGAAGGTTCTTCTAAGCAATATCACTTTTGCCCTTAATTTACCACCCATCCATCACTTCGATTTATTTCGTTTGCCATCAGCTACTTCTCAATATTTCGTAATGGTAAAACGCATCAAGCGTTCAATTTCTACGCTTTGATCACTGTACGTTAGGTGCAAAAAAAAGTGTCATTAAATTTAACTGTAGTTTTAATGACTCCTTTTAACCAATTGTACTTTTATTTAAACCAATTTATAGCTGTTTTCATAAAGTGTTGTCCTTTAGTTGATGTGGCCAGAACATAAGGGATTGCATTCCATAATGCAATAATTTTCTTCGTAAACCAGCAAGCCGGTTCACCGTTAATTCACCCACAAACGTTAAATAAATTGACTTACAAGAAGAAGTGAGTTACAACCGAGGATGTCAGTTTTATTTCGTATAACTTTTAGACAACATTTGGCGAACTCAAGCATCCCACCTAAAGTGTTGATTTAATGGATTATATTAACATTTCTTAATAACGGGAAACTAAATTACTAGTTAGTCAGTTGTTAGTTCAGGCGACTGATTTAGGGTGATGCGGTTGAATACAGTGGAATTTCTCTAAAAAGTTTAATGAATCAATTGGTAGCATCCATGTATAAGCTCATGTTCACCATCATGAAGGCTTCTGTGTAAGTGGTAGGCGAGGTCAAACGTACAATGATTAACTACCATACTAAAAAAAGGCTTTGCTGAGTTGTAATCTGTTAAAGTTTGCTAACAAGACTATTTTACTTTCTTGAGGAATGATTAGCTAATTGTGACAATACAATTATTCACATCTAAACACTTTTCTTTTAATTGCAAAGTGGTTTACTACACTGGTATGTCTGACCTAGTAAGCTTTTCAGTCTCCACGGCTTGTGCCACTATCTAAGTGTCGAGGCACCCATAGCCTTCCAGGTCTTCTGTACGTTAATAAGGTCTTATTATCCCTTTAGGGATGATTCGGGATGCTACATTGTTGACAACAGTAAGCTAATCCGGAGGAAATGAGCATAAGTATCCTAATTCAAGACTTAGGTAACAAACCTACACGTCAGGGAAGAGTGAGTATCCCTTGGCAGCTCTTTTTATAGAGAGTCACTACAAGGGATTGAACCAACCTTAACGGGTGGCGAGCTCCCAATCTGGAGATTAAAATCGCTGTCAAAGAAAGGTGCATTCTGTTTCTCTGAGCATAACAACTTGAATCACACTATAGAAACATGGCGCATCTTTTCCCCATCTTGCTAATGAGCAATTGTTACGACGAAAAGCGGTAGACATACAGCCTTCTTTGCTGTTGACCTTTGACTGGCCTTTACCTTTATTTTCCTAATCATAACTTATTCTTCTCGACTTCCCACGCAAAGAAAGCAATGTTTAGGAACTATAATAAGCTTGACAGCTTGTATCCTAAGAAAAACCAAAGGAACTTTCGTTGTTGTATAAACTAATTGTGTCATCTTTGACCCTGTCCCACATTTGATTGTAATATGGCCCAAGACTCGCTCTGGTCGGTCACGGGTCCCAATAAGGAGTCTCATGCATCTAAATCATCTGTTCAGATTGTGCACTTAGCTGTGGAGCTATTTAGCATCCACAGTTTCAGTTTCTTAGCAGCCTGCGGTTCTGTGCATGCTGATAGCCTCTAATAATATATCCATCACTAGCACACATTATCACGTCGTCATAGAAGACTAAGAGCACAATGATTACATTAGCAAAGAATGAGTAGAAAAGAAGTTAAGTGTACACAATTTTCTATCTGCAAAAGCCAAGAAGACAACCGAGCAGATTTCCGTAGGCTGTTTTATGAAGAGAACCACCTATTTGGTCTGCTGCAATCATCGAAATAACTTTAAGTAGAGTGATGCCTCAGAGTGTAAGTAAAACAGTACTGAAGCACCTTGAGTGTTTTACTATCATAAAATTGTCACAAATTACAACCTTATAATTATTTTTCACTTTTTTCATCCAGTTTGTCGACCTCAAACAGTTTGGGATGCTCATTAATTTCCAAATAGATTATCATAAAAACTTTGACAGCCGTCGCATTGTTTCTCTACTCGTAACTGTAGATTGAGCCTCAAAAGTACATCGGTTGACTGACTGACTAGATTGTGACGAGAAACGGCTTTTGTATTCCAACGTCCGTTAAGTGACCGAACTTGTCATTGGCCATCTATAACCGGTCCACTTACGCCTCTCTGCATTCCCTCTTAGCTTTCATGATACGCAAAACAGAGTTATCTATTTGTCCGCTTGTTAAAACAAAATAATAACTAAGATCGCATCTTGATAATCCTAATAGCATTATCACATTAATGGGAGGTGCGGTTTTTTTAGAAGGAAGTCTAATTTGGTATACTCCATAGACATCTCTCGAGCCTTCAAGCCATCACTTCCGAAGGTTGATAATATTTGTTCGAACTATTTGCCCACCGTCTTCCTCCCTTCTTTGGCAGGACCACTTTACAGGAAATATGACGAGGTTATATCAATGACAATTTTGACTAAAAATTATGATTAATTAACAATGATT